AATCTCCACCTTGACTTGGAGTTTCTCCAACCGCCAAAGGTTTGTCAGTATCTCTCAGTCGTCTCCTTCCTGCCAAATGCCCCGAGAGGGCTTTACCTCCTACGAATATTCACCAAGTTCAAGCAGTGCTCAAACTTCTCCGTCGGTAGCGCCTTTGTCAAAATATCAGCTGGATTGTGTTCTGTAGCTATTTCCTGAATAGAAAACTTGTCTTCCTCCAGAACATCACGGATAAAATTCAACCTTACATCAATATGTTTGGTTCTCTTATGATACACTGAATTTTTAGCCAAACTCAAAGCACTTTGACTATCACAGAATAACTCCGGTTTCTCCACCTTCAGACCCAAACTTTGCACCAGACTATGTAACCAGATACCCTCCTTAATACCTTCAGTCATTCACATGTATTCCGCCTCAGTCGTCGACAGTGCAACCGTAGGTTGTAAAGTAGACTTTCAACTGACTACACATCCAAACAGAGTGAAGATAAAATAAGTCAGTGATCTTCGTTTCACCAAGTCACCCCCGTAATCAGAGTCTGCATAGCCAACAAGACCATCACCATGGCCTTTATCATTATATACCAGACAAATATCAGACGCTCCTTTCAAATATCGCAAGATCTACTTTACAGCTCCCCGGTGAGCTTTACCCGAATTAGCCATAAACTTGCTCACCGCACTAACCGCATAAGCGAGATCTGGTCTCGTACATACCATCGAATACATAAAACTTCCAACTGCACTTGAATATGGAACCATCTTCATGTAACTAACCTCTTCATCTGTAGCCGATATAGTGCTTCGATCAAGTTTAAAGTGTGCCGCCAAAGGGGTACTTACCAGTTTGGACTGATCAACAGATAATGTCTGCAAAACTTTCTCAATATACTTTTCTTCAGAAACCCATAGCCGTCTTGCTTCTCTATCACGCCAGATCTCCATACCAAGTATTTTCTTTGCCGCACCCAAATCCTTCATTTCAAACTCACCCTTTAGTAAAGCCTTCAAGTCATTAATTACAGTCATATTTTTAGCTGCAATTAACATATCATCCACATACAACAGCAGATACACAAAGGAATCAGTAGAAACTTTCTTCGATTAAACACAGTTATCAAACTGATTACGAGTATAACCATTAGACACCATGAATGAGTCAAATATCTTGTACCATTGCCTCGGAGACTGCATCAAGAGATACAGAGATTTCTTTAACAAGCATACTTGTTCCCCTTTAGAACTGTAGAACCCCTCCGGTTGAGACATGTAAATATGTTCTTCTAGATTACCATGAAGGAATGCTGTTTTTACATCAAGCTGCTCCAGCTCCAGATCAAAAGCATCCACCATTGCCAAAAGAACCCGAATGGTTTTGTGTTTCACCACAGGAGAAAAGACTTCATGGTAATCGATTCCTTCCTTCTGTGAAAACCCTTTTGCCACCAGTCTCGCCTTAAACCTAGCAGGTTCAACACCAGGAATTCCCTCCTTTCTTTTAAAGACCCACTTGCATCCCACTGGCTTTACCCCTTTTGTTAGTGCAACAAGATCTCAAGTCTTGTTCTTTTCAAGAGACTGCATCTCTTCATTCATTTCCAAAATCCAGGTTTCTGCATCTTTACTCGCCACAGCTTCTTTATATGTCTTTGGCTCATCAGAGCCAAGATCATCACCAACCGCCAGTGCATAAGCCACAAAATTCATGTCACATGTATTGACACATCCTACAAACCTAGCTGGTTTCTGAATATTTCTCTTTCCCTTTCTTGCTGCTATGGAATCTTCAACCCCAGTACCAGCGTCATCAGCTTCCCCCTCAACCGGTTTCCCTTGAGGTTTTGGCTGATCTGGTTGATCGGATTGATCAATAGTATTATCCTGCTGCTCTTCCTCTAACACAACTCTGTCAGGAGTCTCAAACTCTACCCTCTGGTTAGCACCACAATCTTTTGTACCTGCAATACTTTCACAACCTCTACTCTGATCAAGCATAGCAGATTCATGCAATGTTACATCTCTGCTAATAAGAAATTTACCAGGATTTTTACCTTTTGTACACCACAGTCGATAACTTTTTACTCCTGTTGCATACCCTAAAAATATGCATTTTACCGCCCTCGGCTCCAACTTACCATCATTCACATGAGCGTATGCAGGGCATCCAAATATTCTTATATTAGAATAATCAAAGGGTTTACCGGACCATATCTCTTGAGGAGTCTTTAAGTCAATTGCAGTTTATGGAGATCTATTAACCAGATAGCTAGCAGTGTTTACTGCTTCAGCCTAGAATTGCTTAGATAAGCCAACAAATATGCGCATACACCTAGCACGCGCCATGAGGGTTTGGTTCATTCACTCTGCAACTCCATTTTGCTGTGGTGTGTGTCGTACAGTGCGGTGCCTCACTATACCTTCTTTCTTGCAGAAATCATCAAATGGAGCGTTGCAGAACTCCAACCCATTATCAGTTCTTAAAGTCTTGACCTGTTTACCCGTCTGTTTTTCAACCATGGTCTTCCACTCCTTGAACTTCCTAAACACCTCATCTTTAGTCTTCAGAAAGTACAACCAGACTTTTCTCGAATAATCATCTATGAAAGTGACAAAGTAAGAACACCCGAGCATTACCAGAGCACCTTTTAGTTTTCTCTTCATCATTACCAGAGCACCTTTTAGGACTTTCACCCACTTACCTTCACCATGATATTTTAAACCATTCTTGGCTAAGGTGCCAAGAAAAATCAAATTCTTTCTGAGTTCAGGAACATACCAACAGTCAAATTTCGTGACAGTACCATCATGCAATTTTATCTGTACTATCCCACTCCCCTTTATGGCTAGAACCCCATCATCACCTAACTTCACCGTTCCATTCCACTCCTTAAAAGAAGTGAATAGATCACGAAAGAACGTCATATGGTGAGAAGCACCAGTATTCATAATTCAGGAATCAGCGGTACTAGCACTACACGCTGTCAGAACTTCACCAAAGTCTCCATCATCAAAACTGTCTTGTACCACAGCAGCACTGCTGCCACTGTTACTAGGATCAACTTTTGTATTTCCCTTCTTCTGTGGACAATCCCTTTTAACGTTCCCCTTTTTCTTTGCAAAGATAACACTTAACTTTACTAGAGGATTTTAATTTTGAACGCGACCTCCCATTCCCGTTACTCCTCTCATGTGGTCTTCCCCTACCTCCAAACAGACCTGAACCAGAACCCCCTTTCAGAGAAACCTTTATTTTCAATTATTTGGACATAAGGGCATCTTTCACATCATTAACAGAAAATTGTAGTTCTACCATATAGCATAGTATTTACAAAATTCTCATATGAACTAGGTAGTAAACACAATAAAATTAGAGCTTGATCTTCATCATCTACTTTAACCTCAACCCCTTGAAGATCAAGAATGATACGGTTAAAAGTATTAAGATGATCCTTTACCTGAGTACTTTCGGACATCCGGAGGGTGTAAAGACATTGCTTCTGACATAGCCTGTTCGTGAGATAGTTGTTTTGGTACTTCTCACACAGTTTATTCCATAACCCAAAAGCCGTTGTCTGATCTACAACCTCCCGTAACACCTTATCAGTAACTGACAGCAAGATCGCGGAATGAGCCCTTGCCAAAATCTCCTTATTTACTTCCTCCTTCGTGTCTTTAGGAAACTTGTCTTCTCCCTCCAACGCAGCCGCACATCCTTGTTGAACCAGAAGTACCCTCATCTTGACCTTCCAGAGCGTGAAATCATTCGACCCATTAAACTTCTCCAGATCAAACTTATACGAGGACATCTTCAATCAATGAGATATGGCTCTGATATCACTTGTTATGAGAAAACGAGAAAGAAGGCAAATAAAGAACACAGAGGTTTTACGTAGTTCGGTGACGGTGTATCAACCTACGTCCACGGGCAGAAACCGGAGAGATTTTATTATACTGATTCAGATATTTACAATTATGTCATCCGACTAAGAACCATAGCTGTCTATTTATAAACACCCCAAAACACCCTAAACCCTAAGTCTATTTGTTATTAATTAGGATAAGCCCAAAATGAACCTTGTCAATTGAAACAACCTTTCTCTTTGATTTTGGATCGGATAAACCGCTAAATACAAGTCACGTGCAACCGTATATAATTATTTTACTATAATAAAAATTAATAAACATAGTAGTTTGAGAGTTGAGGTGAAACACCTATATAAATAAACAACACGTGATTAATGTTCATCAAAGATATTTTGATAAAATAATTAGAATATATATAGCAATACTTATATAAATATAAACGACATATTATTAATGTTCATTAAATATATTTTGATAAAATAATTAGAATATTTGTATAGCAATATTTAAGTAAATATGAACAACACATTATTAATATTAAATCAGCAATATATAAATGAAAATAGTACATTATTAACATCCAAAATGATAAAAATGAGGGTGTGTTTTTTTTGGAGTTTGGATTTTTTTGTCTGAATTTAAATAGTAATTTTTTTTTAATTGTAATAATTATATAATATCATGTTTTTTTAATATAAAATTAATTTATAATATAATATAAAAAGATAAATAATTGATTTGATATTTTTAGAGATTGTTTTTTTTTTTTCCCATAATAAAAGTGTGAAGAAATTTGATAAAAGAAGTTTGGCATCAATAAGAACATATTGTTAATATCGGATGAGTAGTAATATATTTAATTTGTAGCACCAAATGAGTAGAAAATATATGTAAATTTTGTAACATTGTGAAATCTAGGCATTTGATTTGATTTGATGCGTGTATAATGGAATGATTTTGATTTAGTGAGTAGAGAGTAGTGGGATCTAACTGAAAAGGACCAATAGTATAGTTTATTTAGAAAAGAAAGTTGAAGCACGCAAAGAAACAACCGGCAATCCACTCCACGCGCTTTGCAATATTTCCAAAATGCTAATAAATATATATATATATACACAGTGCGTGAGGGATGATATTTTCAATCCTGCACTCGATCGATCGCGCGCGCTCTCTCTCTCTCTGTGTCTCTCTCTTTTTGGCGGATTGAAAAGTAGCTTTGCATTTCACTCTGCCTTAATTATACTTTGAATTGATTTGATTATTAATTAAATTTGTGGAAATGTTGTGATTGATTGATTCTGTTTGATTGATTTCAAAGTGTATGCAGTAGCTACAACGGCTAATCTCCAATTGGGAGCAGGAGCAGGAGCAGGAGCAGAAGCACCACTGCGAGGAGCAATTAGCATGAATAAGAATAAGAATGTGAATGTGAATGTGCGTAGTAGAGGAAATGATTGGGGTTTGTTTGGGAGTGTGAGGCATTGGGATGAGGTGTATCCGATGGCGAGGTTGAAGCTGGCGACAGTAATGGCCGCCGAGAAGGAGAAGCAGATGCAGATACCCCCGCACTGGCGATTCTGTTACTCTCTCGTCCATCAAATGGCAGTCAGTTTCGTCGCGGCTGAGCAGATTATGGATAAGGACCTTCGTGACGCTGTCAGTCACTCACTCTCCCCTTCCTCTCTCTCTCTCTTCATTTAAAATTTAGGCTAAATTCAACCAAATTTCTACTATGTTTTCACAAAATTGCATCAAATTCTTTTAAAATTGTTTCAAATTTCCTTATGGTTTTATATACTTTGTATTTAACCCCTCATCGATCCCTATTTAATATTATTTGACGTAAATGCGTCTAAATTACAAATAAATTTTAAAATATCAATTTCTAAATTACTAAAATTACAAATAAATTTATTTTTCTTAATATTTAGTCTAACTAAAATCTTAAAACCTGAAAAAAAAAATATTTTTTTAGCATATTTATTATTTTTTGAAGTTAAATATAAAAAAATTGAATATATTTGTAATTTTAGAAATTTAGAAATTGAGATTCTAAAATTTATTCGCAGTTTGAGAGCATTTAGGTTAAATATCGTTAAATAAGGACCGCCGAGGGAGTAGGACGCAAAGTTTATAAAACCACAAAGGAATTTGATGTAGTTTTAGAAATATAGAGAATTTGACGTAATTTCATGAAATCACGAGTAAATTTGATGCAATTTAGCCTAAATTTAAATTTAGGAATGCCCCTTCCTTTTATCTTTATTTTTATCTTTTAGAAAATATATAGTAGTACAATATATTTTTTTTATCTTATTTATTGCTTTAAATGCTTTTATATTAATTAAATTAATATATTTTCTCTTTTAAAAATATGATATTTGATTTTAGACCTGTATAAATAAAAATGGTAAACATTTAATTAGTATTTTTTTTAATAAAATAAATAAAAAAATTATCAACTATTTATTTAAGTCTCCCTCTATCAAATCTAGTAACGTTTTCTTCATATTACATAGAGAAAATGTATCTAAATTTAACGGATAAGCAATTTAGAGACAATCTATTACTTAATTTTTATTAAAAAATACTCAATTCATTTCAAAATAATAATTTTTTTTTTTTGTCCGTTTCAAAACAATAGTTTTATTTTTATTTATTTTTTTAAAAAATATACTACTCCCTCTGTCCCAGATACCATGTCCACGTTGCCGTTTCTGTCCTTCCCCATGTACCATGTTACTTTCCTTTTTTAGAAAATGATTACACACTTTAATCTCATTTTAAATTTTTTAATTTAATTTTTTTTAATTTTAATTAAACTAATTAGTTATCTTAATCTTAATTTATAATTATTTATATTATAGGATAATTATTTTCACTAATACATTCTTAATTATCTAATAATTAGACCCCTACTAAAATACCGTGTCTACAGTGTAACAGACACGGTATCTGGGACAGGGGGAGTATTATTTTGAATGTATCCATATTTTTTCATTATTAGAAAAATATCATTATTTTCTACACAAATACAATTACAAGGATATTTTACTATTTTAATATCAATTTTATACTAATTTTTAATATAATATCATTATTTATTAAATCTAGTGCCGAACCCCAATAAACTATTGTTTGAAAACAGATAAAACATATAAAATAAATGATTGGACAATTATTTACTTTCCCCGTCCCATAAAAGATGTCTTATTGGGGTCGGCATGGAAAATAATAGTATTTAATTGAAAGTAGATGTAGAGCAGAATGTAAAAGACTAAATTATCATTGTTTTTTCAAAGATTTTAAAAAATAGGTTAAAGTAATAATTAGAAAATATATGTGAAAAAATAAAAATAATTTTATTGTAAAGTGGGGACCATATTTACTATATAAAAAAATAGGACAATTATTTTGAGAGGAACGAAAATAGAAAAACAAGAAAAACTCTTTTGGACTGAAAGAGTATTATTTCTTATTCAAATTGATGTTTATTATTTATATAAAATTTACATTAAGTGCATATTTACAACCACATCTTTGGACTAGATGGTATTTTTTTCATATTTTAGTTTAACACAGAGAATATAATAAATAAAATTTTTGTATATTTTTACTAAAATACAATAAAGTATTACATAATTTGCCCTTGGATTTATTAAATAACTTTTATTTATTTTGATGAGTGTGCGATAATAAAAATAAAAAAAAAAAAAAACCTCCATCCCATTTGAAAAAAACATTTTGGAGTATTGTATTAAATTAAAAAATAATAATATTTTATTAATTAGTTGAAATGTGTAAGAAGTTTTAACATTTTTTCTTTTAACTTTATGTAAAAATAATTGTATGTTTAATACTACAATATGTTTTTAATTTATATAAAAGTTAAAAAAAAAATTGGTATTAATGTACGATAACTTTTACTTAAAAAAAGATATATTCTTTTGAATAAAATATACAAAAATAATTAAAAGAGCACTTTAAATAGTATATAATAGTATATATTTTTTATTTCATTCAAAAAATTAATATTTAGAAATAAAATATTAATTTTTTGTATTATAAATACACTTTTCGTTATATTATATAAAAACATATTTTAACTAAAAAGCACACACAACAAGAACAACAAACCAACACCCCACTAAAAAAGAATAGTATATTTGTAATGGAATTCTGTTCCTAAAGTTCACGTAGCTAATGTAATTTCATTACTAATTCCGTCTCTAATATCATTAGTAACAGAAAAACTACATTTAGGGACTAAAACCCTTGTTACAAAATTGATATTTTCTTATAGGTCACTTTGTTGAAAACCGAAAGCTAATTTTTAAAATACATACATACTACAGGTTTATGAATAAGTTTGTATATATTATTCGTAATTCACCCTTAAACTCTAGTGAGTATTTCTTTGAAATAATTTGTGACTAATAATAAAATTAATTATTATGTAATAATCATTTTTGTTGTATTATTTAGTAATTATTTCAATTTTTTTTTTTGTTAAGTTACTGTTTTGATTTTACATATGTAAAGTAGTTAGAATTATTAATCTTTTACATTTAAATTATTTTAGTTGTAAAATATATCATTATTAAAAATAAGGTTAAAAAAACTTAAATATAATAAATTTACTTGAAATTATGAAAATATTGAAATAATGAATTAATCGATATTTATCTAATATATGCCTGTATAAGAATGATTATTGTATTGATTGCACAATATTCATTTCCCTACACATAAAATGGGCATATATCACAATATATGTGAAATAAAATCATATGTTTTTTATTTATATATGTAAGTGTATTTTATATAAATATATTATGTGTTAGCTAATGTGATATATTCATATTATATTAATATAAATAATATATTATTTTTAATAATATTATATAATATTCATTAATGTACTTTTATATATATAAGTGCAGAGTCTAAAATAATATAAAAATATCATTATTTGATATTTCACCTATATATATATAATACAAAAAAAATTAATATATATATATATATAAAAGTGCAGAGTCTAAAATGGATATAAAAATAATCACTAATTGATATTTAGTTTTATATATTTTTTAATTTATTAAAATTATAAAATCCAAGTACCTCTGTGTTTATTGATACAATTTCATTTCAAAAAAAAAAAAAAAAAAAAAAAAAAAAAAAAAACCACCTCATGAATTGGGCCTCTATTTATATCTTAGCTCTGAAAAGGCCCGTGTTAGTGTATGTTCAGATTATTGATTATGAAGAGAACCCTATAAACTCTACTTACATAGTCATTTTTATTTTTTTTTATAATTATGATGTAATATTTTCAAAAACATCACGGGGATCGATTGTGTTTGTTCGGGAGACTTTCAAAAGATTTCTACTATTGCTGAAAAATATTTTCGAAAAAATATTTTTGTAACGTGATTTTTTTGTCTTTAAATTCACTTTTTCCGCTACTAATGATATTAGAGACGGAATTAACGATGGAATTACGTTAGCTACGTGATCTTTAGGGACTGAATTCCATTACAAATATACTATTATTTTTTTGTCGTGTATATATTTAATATATGATATTTTTATATAAAAAAGGTAAAAATTATTGTAGATAAATAGTGAAAACAAGAGATTGAAAAACAAACTAAACAAATCCTTAATGGTTGGTACTTGCCAGATTTACATCAGTATCTTGGTTCTTCGAGCACTGGACACTATTGGTAAGAAACATCTCTTGTTCATCAATCAATTTAATTTCAAGTAGCTAAGCTAAGCTGTTGATGATACAAATCTTATTTCTTTACTAATTTTTAAGTGCAGAAGATGATTCAACTCTAACAACTGAGATGAAAGTGTCGATTCTACAAACTTTCCACCATCACATCCGCGATGGAAAATTGCGTTTCTCTAGTGAGTTTCGCAACTTATAAACTTTGTCTTCCGATAATCACCGTAGCATCGACGATAATGAAACAAATTTATGACACCAAAACAATCAACACATTACAACTTTCTGCATTTTAATTTAATGGGAGATGTTATCATTTGCAAAATGATGAGTCTTTTATACGAGTTTATCGTCTTCCAGATGACACACAAGACTACAAAATTCTAAAGGAGAAGTTCCATCATGTCACCACTGCTTTTCTTGAGCTCGACTACAGGTGGTATTCTACCCAATCATCAATTACTGATCACTAATTAATTGTTTGTTTGCCCAAGTCTTGTTAACTTGTGGGGTTATTGCAATGATCAATAAATCCTGAGAAATTAATTTGTATATATGTATGCTATACGTTACCATAATACAAATATGACATTTTAATATATAGAACATCTATACAACAGATAATATAATTGAATTTAACACATAACGTATATAAAAATACCACACCTTTAAAACATATCGCACATTGTTAGAATCAACACAACATATGGTATTTGTTCAAGCATGTACTAAAAGTCTATATTTTATGTTCTATCAACACAATACTAATTAATTTAAATTAGCATCCTAACCAAGACACAAAGTGTAATTATAATACAATCAATTGTTAACTCAACTATGTCCTTTAGAATCTAATGGAAATTCCAATCTAGGTCTAATCTCATGAGTTTGTGCATTAAAGATAGCTTATGCGATTATATTTTTGCAGATATCAAAAAGAAATTGAAGAAATCGCCATGAGAATGGGTGCAGGAATGGCGAAATTCATTTGCAAAGAGGTACGCTCATGAATAAATGAACAAAAATAAAAAAATAAAAATGATCAATGCTCTGACTTTAATAGTCTTGAAATAATGTTTATTCAGGTGGACACAATAGATGATTACGATGAATATTGCCACTATGTGTCTGGACTTTGTATAATAGGAACATCAAAGATATATAGCACTTGCAAAGGAAAAGATCTGGCTTCGGACGACCTCTCCAACACAATAGGTTTATTTTATCAGGTATAGAGTGAGTGTCTCACACTTTGCCCATATATCTCTCTTATTTTCAATTCCTACAATGCAGAAAGCAGATATCATCAAAGACTATCTGGTCGATATAAATGATACCCCAAGACCTCGTATTTTCTGGCCCCGTCAAATTTGGGGTAAATATGTAGACAACCTCGAGGTAATCAAATCAAATCAAAGACACTTCATGGTCATGGTATGAACTACTACTTAATATGAAATTTAATCGTTCATTTAGGACTTGAAAAAAGAAGAAAACTCGGCCAAGGCATTGCTTTGTCTCAATGAAATGGTCACAAATGCTTTAACACACGTCGAAGATAGTCTAAAGTATTTGTCTGCTTTGCCGGATCCAGCCATCTTTCGTAGTCTCGCCATATGGATGGTACGAGGGTCTTTTACTTTTTCTTTGTCTTTTCATTTTTTAATGAAGACTTGGATGTCATGATGCCTTTATGAAAATATATATATATATCTTTGGAAATTAAAATTGCATATTAAAAAATATATAGATGAATAAATAAATAGATAGACTCTAATTAGTAAATGAGCAACTACTTCACATGCCTTAATTAAATTAAATCAGTATCTACTATGTCTATTGTTATCGTGTACTGTTAATTCATATTATAATAGTAAAATCTATTATGTTCCTTTTATGTTTAATAAAAATTTTTAATTTTCTAGCTAAATATAAAGTTTGTTCACCTTATATTATTAAATGTAAATATTTTTATACTAGGTACGGGAAATTGTATTGATAATATAAAAATATATATATATTTTTTTGTGTAATTATTGACTTTTTACGAGTGAATAATATATATTATATATTGTGTTAAGTATCTATATTGTATTTTTTTTAATAATATTCCTTTCGTCCCTTAATAATCTATTCATTTTTTCATTTTGGTTTGTCCCATAACAAAATATTCATTTCCTTTTTTTTAGTAATTGTACTATGTACCTAACATTACAAATACCTTTCTAATTTACAATATATTACACAAAAGTCATTACGTTTATGTCATACAAAACTAATAGGGTTAATTTAATCTGTTTACTTTTATTTCTACTTTATCCCAATATAATACTAATATTTTTAAAATTCAATACAAAAAACAAATAGATATATAGATATGGGACGGAAGGAGTATTTAAAAAAAATCATTCTATATAAAAATACTAAAGAAACAAACCCATAGTGTTTATAAGATTTTACAATTGAAATTGTGCAGAGATTCAATAAAATACATAACCTATATAAAAGAAACACCTGTGATTTTCATGTATACACATGGAAGTAAAATAGTAGAATTTTGAAATATTTTTAAACTAGTAAAAAAATAAATAAACAGAACAGATATTTTTGTAATATAAATAAGTACGGGATATGATGTTGTGTATAGAAATTATATTAATGATGTAATTTTTCTTATATAAAAAAGTTTATCATTGATAAGTATTGTTAAAAATGACTTTAAAATGTATTTGTACATTCTTTTTGATGATCTCCAAGTCTAACGGCGCTAATAGTATATTTGCATTGTAATTTTTGTAGGTGTTGGAATTTGGGGCATTAGCTTTGTGCTACGATAACATTCAAGTATTTCGAAGGGGTGCCAAATTAAGATTGGGTAAGTAACTCTAATTACGGACGTTATTATACTATTTATCAATAGAATTTTAATTTTTTTTTTAAATATTATTTTAAAGACTTGTTCAGTTGGTTAAAATCAATCAAAATCATGTAACAAATTATTTTTAGGTATTCCCTAAAACTGCATATAATTAATCTATCTACAAAAAATAGTTTTCTATCTTTTATTATTTATCTTTTAATAATAATAGTCAATTTTCTGTTATTGTTTTTATATATTCCATTATTTTTTTTATCAATTTTTTAATTATTTTTTTATAAATGCCCCACTTTACTTTTTAGCTACCTTAATTTTCTATTAACATATTATTATTTATTAGTTTCTTTTCCAAAGAAAATGATTAAGTTTTAGGTACAGATGAAATATTTCTTTCATTATCAATTCAAAAACTCAATTTGTTATTATTATTTTTAAATCTTCAAAAACTCTAAAAAGTTAATATTATGTGGGAATGGAGGAATTGTACACTAGACTTGCTCTTGACAGTTAGAAATTGTTGGAATTTTATTTTTTTTAGTTCCTGTTTTCAGTTTGAATATATGAACTGGATTTTATAAAGTTTAATTTTGATTTCATATTATGAGATTGTGAATGATGGTTCCACGTTATTATTATTATTATTTTTTCTAAACTTAAATTAGAAATTAAATAAATTAAACGCATATTTATATTATAAAATGAAATCATCATATGTTTTATCTTATGTTGAAATTATTATTTTATTTTATGATTTTTAAATATTGTTATTAATTTACATGAGATTATATAGAAAAAAAAATCATAATCAAAATTAATGTTGGCATTCTATATCTCTTGTTTGCTCAGGTCTCAAAGCTAAAATCTTCTACACAACAAGAACAATGTTTGATGTGTATGAAGCTGTGTACAACTTCTCTCTTACACTAGAATCTAAGGTTCGGTTTGAAACCAACGAACGAACACCTACGTCTATATATACAAGTCATTCTGATCAGTCACTATATAAGGCAATTTGTGTAACATTTTATTCCCCGATCATGATCACAACTTTAAATGCTTATATCTTGCCATGGGTGAACTTTGCAGATCAATCAAAACAATTCTCACTGTAAGGAGGCAAAGAACCTCGTTGACACAATCAAGAAACTTTGCGAAAACTGCGGCACTTCAAACAAAAGGTATGCTTTCCATTGCCATTGCCATTGCCATGGTCCTTTTGAGCCACTTATTCGAAATTGTAATTTTGTTTGTTTCCTGCCAGGAGATCTTACATTATTTAGACCAGCCTCCAATCGACGAGATCTCTTGGAATGCTAAATCCAAGAATTGCGAGGATAAACTTGAATATCATCAAATGTGAGGATAGTTTTGAGGTCATGGGAATTTCACTAGAATGAGTTCGCACAAACATTTTGCAAGACCAAGGGTTTGCTTACTTTTGCGTGTTTTTAGTTTATATATATATATACATATGTGTGTATGATTATGGTCACCATGCTGGATTAACTATAATCAGTATATAAAACATGAAGGGCTAGCATATGACTTCAATTACTACAATGTGTTGTGTAGATTGTTGTCACATGCAGTACCTTCATATTTTACTAATGTGTTTATTAACTCGGATCAATGGTAGATATTGTATGAATTATTATCATGTTTTTTTAATGTTATATCTTATATCTTATATTATATTAATGTACATTTTGTGTTATTGATTTATAATTTATATATTTTTTTAGATAAAATAATGATCGGATACAATCTTTTATTAAAAAGCATCAAGAGATCTTAAATTATAAAATAAATGAACAAGAAAGTAGTAAACAAACTTGGGGTGTGTTTGTTTGGGGGATTGGATTGGATTGGATTTACACTATTCATCCAATTTTTTTCTCCCAAAAACATTAAATTAAACGGCTATTTTTTATTTTTTATATTATACTAAAAATCAATTTTACATTCAAAACATCACATCAACACCTATTTATATCACATCATACAACTATTCAAATTCAAAATTTTTACTATTCAAATCCCAACTCAAAATCCAAACCCCCAAACAAACACACCATTTGCACAGACAGATGCCAATTGTATCACTGTAGTCCCTAAGATACATATGTGTTTATACCTTTTCTAATTTGATTTATTGAAGAAATTAACTCCATTATTCATGGAATTTTATTTGGATAAGTTTTTGGAATATTAGAGGATTAAAAAAAAAAAAAATCATGGAAAAACATTAGTGGAAGGGAAATTCACTAGCCTTTTTAGGCATGAAGGATTTGCAACCTTGGGCTGAGGAATCGTTGTTGATACTACCCTCTAACATCTCATACGCGTGTATCAAAGAAAGCAATTATGGTGGCGTGTGAAGGGTTTCTTTACCGATGTATCTATATTTACAAAAGTTAAGAGTATGTATTCATCACTTTTATCCTCTCCAAACCCTAATTTCGATTGTGTGAAGTTTTCTCCCCAAATTCAACCACAGTCTCTTGGTAAGGATGCGAAACCAAAGATCTCATCTAAGAAAAAGAGGTAGGTCAATCAAATAAAGGAAAGAAACCAACCGAACCCATATTATCTATTCTTAAAACTTTCGAGGATTGTTTGGATGAGGAGTTGGTTTGTGATGTTGAAGGAAGGATAATTGTTGGTGTCTATGTTGCGGAAACCATTGTCTTAACTACTGGAGATCCTCTTATTTATTGAGAAGTTGAAGGCCGAGTCGAAGAGAGAGTTGTTGTGGCCCGAATTGATCTCAACTAATACGTAGTCATAGGATCTCAACAAATAATTAGTCATGGAACCTGAACCTGAAGCTCAAGAGAATATTGACCAAACCATTGATAAGGTGGATGAAGAGACCACTGGTGGTGAAGCTGAACATGGAAATGAGTTTTTAGTTGATACTTACGAAAAGGATACTCTTAATGCTGGTGATGAATATGTAGCTATAACAACCAATGTTGCCCTTTTTCTAGTTCAAACTAAAGTAGAACGGATGCACGAGGATGTTCCTGAAGGTGACGATCCTATTAAACCTCAGGCTGAAGATGCTAAAACTGAAATGAATGCAAGAGATGGTGGTGTTGAAGGTGATGTCCACCATGAGGCCGCTTAAGGAAGAGCTACTGAAATCGATGAAGAGGAGGAGGGTCTGGATTCTATCTATCTTTCTTCTAACCTTGACAGAGTTTAGAAAAGGAAACTTGGAGAAACCTCAAAAGCTGATCCCCCGGCGGAACCATCATGTCTACCGAAATACAGAACCCAAAAGTTGATGGACCCGTTGGTGTTCGTGGGGAAAAAGCTCTAAACGAGACATATTACTATGCCTCTAGACACACGTAAGCCCTCAAAATCCTTACTGGAAGAAAAATTTATTGCTGAAGCTCAATACATATGTAGAGATTACACTGAAGTTGGATTTCTAGCATTCTTGGGCTACTGGTCTTGATCGTTATTGTTTAAGATTGGTGAAAGAATTCTATGCTAATCTGGGTGGAAAGGTATTGTTCCCCAACTCATATTGGTATCACAAAGTGTATATGTGCGGAAAAATTATAGAGTTTAACCCCCACAGTACTCAATGTGCTATTGCAGCTTTCTGCTAACGACAATGAAAAGTTGGCCTCCAAATTGCTTGAATAGTCAACATGTGAGGTTGCTCAAACAATCTAAGTTAGAAACGCCACAACCTTTGGCAAAACTAGATTCACTACCTCAATGCTAACCATGAAGTACAAATGCTTGTTTCATATTTGTGGATGCAATGTTTTTTCGACGGTCAACAACATAGTCGTTAGCTCCGACATGGGTACTTTAATTTTTTCAATGAATAAGAATTTGGAACTAATTAATTTTGGATATCTTGTGATTAAAAAGATGCTTGACTTATATTCCACTTTGAAAGTCGAGTGAATGCGACTGCTCTATTTGGGCTTGATTTGTTTGTATTTTATTTCACATGGTATTCAACCAGAGCCAGAGAAGGATATGTATGTTACTCAATTGTTCCTGGTTCAATAAAACCTAAATAAACTCCATAATGACTTTCTACATTGTGCTTCACTTGATTCTGAAGGTCGACTGGCTAAATAGAAAGAATTGCTCGATGATGTAATAAAGGAGCACTCTAGTTTGTTTGTTGGTTTGATTGAACAGAAGTACAGTGGCTCAAGCTCTACATCTGTTGTCCTACTAGCCTGGTGCTCTTGATGATGATGCAAATTCTATTGATGATGAGGCTGACACTTGACCCATCTTTCTTGATTATGTAATATTTTTATTTTGTCAAAGCCGTTTGTGGCTTGTTTGATTCCTGACCTATAATAACTGAACTTTACTATGGTTGCTCGCACTAAATGATTTGAAATTTGTGTGTGGTGCTATTTCTTGCTACTTATTGCACCTTTCTTTATATACAAAAGTCAAATCCACTTTATTGCTAGTTTTGGCATATAAAGTAAGTTGTAGGTCTATTGTCGTAGCTGCTCCATAACACAATTTTGACAATTCTATGGTAGACTAGTTTTATGGAAAAAGAGCCACCTTTGGAGTGGTCAAACATGTTAATGAAATAGAACAAATGGACTTGTCTCATATAGAGAAGATGCATGAGAAGATAATTGTGTGTTGCACTCAGTCTGCATGGTATTTAATGTCTCGTTCACACCTCCCCAAACATGCATATAGATCATTTTTTGTTTGAGTGTGCACACTGTGTGTTTTGTTTTGTTGTTAACTAAGAGAACGGTGTGAGATAGACATACTTCTTGAGCATTTTTTTCTCTCCTCACTTCAGAGAGTTGATAGGTACATCGATGGTTATTGAGATATTTTAGATATTCGATTTTAGATTTAGTAGATTTATATTTAGATTTGGTCTTATCCATATATTAGTATACTTAGATTTGAGTCTATCGAGTACATTTGATATTGCCTATATATAGGCCCTTTTATTTTGATGATCAATAACACAATCTCATTATGACACGGCCCAACCATATATAATTATGCCCAAAATAATTTTTTTACCCACAAAGTTTAATAGAACAAATGGATTAAGAATAAGAATAAAAGAAAGGAGAAGGAAGAAGAAAAGATAGTGCAGAGAATGTCAATTAGTATGGATGATAACCAACCATAAAATTAAGTCTCAGAACTGAAATCAATCCATAGGTAAAACACAAACAATAGGCTAAATCCCACTGCAAAGGATTGGAAGCCACAAACCGATAGAATCACTCCAAAGACCCGATTTGAGACTAAATGTGAGGAAATCACTCCCTAACACTAGAAAATTATAAAAGTGAAATTCGGTTCAAGATGTAAAACAAGTTTCCATTAAAATGATAGACAAGGACCTTATATAGAGGTCTTTGAGGAAAATAAAAGGCAACAAATAATAAAGGAAACAAACCAAAAGGTAAGTCTAATTATAAGGAAATAAATAATTAGGAAAGTTTTAGATATGAAATTATACTATATGGAAACTTATAATAAAAGAAAATATATATTAAGGTAACTTCTAGAAGCCTCCATAAGTGATGATTCCCTTGATAATCTTCCATGATTAGCGATTCTCTTGATCTTTCAATTAGGATTCTTGCAGGCCCCATTGAAGGAGTGTCAGGTGAGGGCTAAGTGGTTCTCCAAGCATCATCATTAAATTGATTCTCCATGAAAATTCGTCCGATCAATGTAGTGACGGATTTTTGAAATTGACGAGCTCGGCTTCGAGTGATGGGTCCCACGGGCATTTGAATGCTTGAAGATTGGACGTCCTCGTCATCCCTCCTTCTTGAAAAGCTTTCTTGTTCTTCCGAACAAGATATTCATCCGCTACATCAAAAAGACTTAAGTCAGAAACATTAAAAGTAGCATGAACTTGATACTCAAAAAGGCCCATCGCCATGGGGAGTAAGTTTTGACTTTCACAATTTGGAAATATTTCATTCCTTAAGTGTAGCCAAACCCAATCTCCTATCTCGAATACAATTTTCTTGCGCCCATGGTTAGCTTGTTTTGGGTAATTGTCAGTTGCCCTTCATAGGTTATCCCGAACTTTAGAATGAAGTTTTTGGACAAATTCAGCCCATTTTCTTCCATCAAAACTAACGTGCTCATTGCGTGCCAATGGCATAAGATCAGGAGGAGTTAATGGATAGTTGTTTTGGCTAGTCCATCACTATCACTATTTTTCTTTGGATAGTTGATTCGGCTAGTTTGAATTGGCTGTGAATTGCCAGACACTTGACTAGTTTAGTTGGATTATGAATCACCCACTTTTTGGAGTAGCATGCATTGGTTAGTTATTTTCGCAGGACTCATGAGAACTTCAAGCCTCCCTAAAAATGGTGCACGACCAAATGACAAAGCGTTGAGAAAACTCACAACTACTCCACCCCCCTACGGACTCCAGGGAAGTCCCTCTTTTCTTTTATTGCTTTCTTTATATTGAGGACAATACATACTTTAGGTGTGGGGAGAGTTATGCAAACGTTTGGGCAAAATTTTCATTTTGTACTACTTTTATGCCTGATTTGCTGTGCTATCACATGTTTTTGGGATTTGTCTGAAGTAAGTCAAATGTGATTTGTGTGAGAGATTTTTCTAGCATGACTAATGACATTGTATTTG